AGGTGGGGTTTGTGGATGCCTGGGAGATGACAGTGGCTGCCAACACCTTTGTCATCCACCCCAACCCAACCATCATTGCCAGTGAGGTGGCACTATTTCTGTCCCAACTCTGTCATACTCAACATGGTACCAGTGCCAGGCCGAAGTCATAGAACAACTTCCGCTAATCTTGTTTGGAGGCTAATTTTGGGGTTTAATCTGAATGAGAGAAAAGTTTTTAAGGACTGTCAGCTCAACGAGGACTTTGGTTAAAAACCATTCACAGAATTTATTCAAGGATTTTCATGCAAGTGTTCATTAACTCTATGACACGTTTTATATACTACAATAAGGTGGACTGGCAAAGGTAAATAAGAGTGTGTGTGTGTGTGTATTTTATTTTTTTTCTTAGCTTTGTTATCGATTGGGTAGGTGGTTCTAATGGGCGGCTAGAGCTATCTGATGATGGGACCAAATCATTGCATGCTTGTGTATTTAAGTATTTAGTGTTGCCTACGTGCGTGTGCCTTTTTGGAGTGTGCATGTGTGTGGTTTGAAGTGGATTATTGCACCGACGTCGCACCATCGAGTGTGTGCACGAGTAGTGTGACTATGGGGGTACACCATCAGCTAGTCTGTCTCCCCTTTTTAAAGGTAGCCATACCTAGTCGTAACTGATTCCTTTGATTTTCCTGTGGCGTTATTTTTTTTGTTTGTTTTGGTGGTCTGTGTAATTTTAGTATATTTAAGATTATTCTGGTTGTTTACAAAATTGTAATAGATATGTATTTAGTTAATTTGAGTTTAGATCTCTTGTTATTAATTTTCCTCTGATTTGTGTAATAAAATTCGTCCAAGAGAATCCATGTCCGCTGTATAGTGTATTGGACTTCTGTGGGTGATCAACTGGAAGTAGTCATATTGTACTTATCCCGGGGGGTTGGGGGCGGTTATTCTAACCGTCCTATTGGGTGGCGTAGTCGGGCTATTTGTTGCTTTGCCACACTTTAAAAAAATAAAATACAATTCTGGCCTCATGAATGTGCATGTGGTCACACTCTGGAGCCCTGTCTGGTTTCATAACCATTTAAATCCTATGCAAGCAGCAAGGCTGTGCTTTTTCACATGTCTTATCTATTTTGGTTTTGTGTTTTTTTAAATTAATGAATGGTGGAATCTGTTTTTGTGCACTTGTATTAGGTGAGACCCATCTCTTCACCTCAAAATAGAAACGCTTTTTTTTGTTGTTTTTGTGTTGTGTGTGTGTGTGTGTGTTTTTTTTTTTTTAGCCTTTGAATCCTAGGTAACCTTTTCTTTTGGAGGTTAAATTTTAATGTTCTTGTCTTCTCTCTCTCTCCCACCCCACCCCTCCTTGATGCACCAAGGATCCAGTGGACTACTGCCAGTTTGGAAGAGGATAACACTTCCTGGGGCACAATGCACTGTCACCTTTCTCGGTTTCACTGTATGTTTGGTCAAGAGGGCTTGCAACATTATTTATTTATTTATTTTAGTGCAAGCTACACCTCTGCAACATTGTCCCGGATTTGTATTACATTTTGGTGGTCCAACTGACAGGGAGGTGAGAAGCAAACCTTAAACTTGTACTTTGAACAATGTTGCAGGAGGCATTTGCAGTGGACCCACCAGTTTAAAAATAGGTCTATACCAGGGGTCACCAACCTTTTTGAAACAGAGCTACTTCACGGGTACTGAGCCATATGAAGGGCTACCAGTTTGATACACTCTTCTTCAAACATGTATAATAAACATGTTTTAAATGCTCTTGTTTAGTTACTGACATTTTCAAATCTATATAAATGCAAATGTGATTGAAGAATAGCAACAGGATAAAATTGAATTTTAGACGCTGTTCACTGGTGAGTTGTGCTATTTTTAGAACATGTCCGTGGGCAACTCATGTGGTCCTTGTCTATGGTACTAAAAACAATGCAGAGATTCAGTTTTGTAGAATTAGGCCTACTGTATAATACTAAACTGAAAAACTACATTTAGTACTGTATAGATCAGGGGTCACCAACATGGTGCCATAGACATACTTATATTGCACTGTTATTCTTTATCGTTTTATCAGTTTTGTCTTCTTTTTATTTTTTTTACCCCTGTAGTGTCCAGCAGTTTAGCAGCAGGATGTTAGTCTGGGTGCTTTATTGTGCCAACACTTTTATTTTGCCAAGTGGAGCTTCGGATTAAGCTCCTCTTGTTACTTGAGATTTACTCTTTATTAACCGTTTTAGATTATTGCGCTATTAAGCCGGAGTAGACAGGAAAAGTTTACTGAAATAGGAGAGATAAAGCGAGGAAGAGAGGAGGGACAGAAAGAGGAGAGGGGAAAAGAGAGAAAGAGAAGAGAGAAAGAAGAAAAAAAAAGGGGGAGGGGGTCAGATAGGGAGAGAAAAACAGGGAAAGAAAAATAACTTAAGAAAAAGTAGAGCAAAAGGAAAGAATAACAAATGGACAGCTTCTGCATCTTAGTGCTGGACATTGTATCATCACACCAGCTGCTGTATCTGAAAAACAAGATCCAGGTGCATAAAAAGTATACAAAGAAACCAATGGTACCATTATGACAGGGAATACGCTTGTGCCAGTATCTGCTTCTGGAATGAAATACATTAATACCAAAGAAAAAAATACATAAGCAGACCAACAGGAACACAGTCTGGTTATCGCCGCACCAGTATCTGCATCTGAGAAGGAAGGATGGAAGCCACACACACACACACACACACAAACAGACAAGAAGGAGAGAGAGGGATAACATAGGGCAAGAAAGCCCTGGGCTATCTTGTATGTGCGTGTGTGTGCGCGTTCTATGTGTGTGCATGTGCATATGTACGTGTGTGTGCGCATGTGTGTATGTTTGTGTGCTGTGAGTGTATGTATGAGTGTGCAGGTTAACATGGAATGATTCCCAATGGGTGTGCAAGGCCACAACAATGCCAGCGATCATGGACCCAGCCGCCACACAGGGGCCAGGCACCCGGGCCCCCCGCCACCGGAGGGCTGCGCGTCCACCCAAGGAGGCAGAGGGGGGAGGCACCGGGCACCCCACACCGGCGAGCACGAGCCAGGGGCCCCACGGTGATAGCGCCACAGGGCAGCGGGCATCAGGCAAGGCACGCCCGGACACGCGGTGCCAACACCCAGGGGGGCGCCGACACCCCCCGCCACAGCACCCCCTGCCCCAATCCGAGGAGGTGTCTGGGGCCTCATCTGCGCTGGCATCGCCGACGAGCCATTCATACCCAGATACCCACATTCACCAAACACTCGCACCCCACCACACCCGCACCACCCCATCACCGAGGTGCTCCCCCGTCCCAGGCCATACATTCAGACATACAGAACATGCAGACTCACCAGATACACACACAGACACGCACGCCCACACACACACACTCATC